CTTAGGATCGCTCAACCGACGTATGCTTTTTCCGCGGTGTTGTTGCCCTCCGCGCTTGATAGCTAGCACACGCTTCAAGCTGAGAGATTAGCAGTCTGCGAGACTTACGATAATTTCTAATAATGTACCTTTTTTTTTACAGGCAATTAAGGACGTTATACGCCGCAAAGTTCAAAAAGAGAACAAAATTGAAAAAAGCAGCATGGCGCACGAGGCCACCACGCTTTCCGCGGCCGACGTAGACATTCCCGCCTCCGCCGGCGTACCCGTCACCAGTATATCCGTCGTCAGCGTACGCGCCGCTAGCATACATGCCACCAGCATATGCACCGCCAGCATACACACCGCCAGCGTACGCACCAGTATACCCATGGGGAGGATATTCCCCACGTTTCTTGTAGATTCGTATCAATTCTAAGTACATGTTTTTGTTAATATTTATGTATAAAATATTGACATTTTATGTATAAATGCCTGCTTGTACAATAAATGTACAATAAATGTACAATAAATGTACAATAAATGTACAATAAATGTGAAAATGCCTTTCATTGGCATATAAAAAAAGATGTTATAAAATATTTGTAAATTTTTTACCTGCCCATTCCTTATCCTTGGTTGGACTATCAAATATTACATACTATTTCAAATTATACTATTTCAATTTTAATAATATGATTGGAATATCAAATTACTATGATATTATATTGAATATGATTGGTCAATTTATTATTGTTACATCTTGCGGACATACTTCTACTGCAATTATAGACTATACATTACACGAATAAGTGAAATGTTTGAGTGTGCATAAATGGAAGAGGGAAAACGGAAGCGAGCCAGCTGATATCGCACTGTTCAAAGTAATGATACGAGATGAGAAAAAGAGAAAGGAAGAGGGAGAGAGAGAGAGAACCGTTTAAGCACGTAATCCTTGAATATGATATGATTATTATTCAGTATTAAAATAATATTCCTATAATATTGAACGATTGTTATGAAACATTTTTTATTTTTTTTAGTGTTATATTGATGTAATATGTCAATTGCACATAATATTCTATGCATATTAGACAAATGTTCATACAATAACAAAAAAATTATAATAGTAATAATACACAAATATATATACATATATATACACGGTGGGCCATTTTACGGGACCCACCCAAATTTCTCTATAGGTAAGCCAGATATAGAAAAATAGTTAAGGCTCCTGGCCCTTCGCCGCGGCCATATTGGTTTTATGACGTCAGAAGCGAGAAACGACACGTCAAGAATTCTTACGTGCCATATTTAAGTAAAAAGATATTCTTGACAAACAGCACTCGAAATCACTTCAACATGCTTGTAAAAAGTTCCGAGTTCTCACCTTTTCCTTGGGCAATTCATACAAAGTCATAAAATAAGCAGTGAAATGAGGCCTGTCTACGCGAGAAAACGCGTGGTGAAACAACTGATCAAACGAGTGTAAATTATGCTTCTACGTATTGTATATCACGAAAAGCCGAGAACTCGGAATATTTTACAGGTTCCCACAATATGTCTAATGTCACAAAAGTCCACTAGAGTAAATAATATAACCACATTTCGCAAGAAAAAATTTGGCTGTCAAGAGTAGTATTATACTGCAGTATATGTCATTTTCTCACTCCATTGAGTTCATTGTTTTGCCGTATAATGGCGCTGCACGTCATATGTCGGTAATA